CGAGAGACCGTATCTATTTAATAAGTTGCTTGTCTTAACTTTTATATTTATTTCTATAAAATCGACTTTGGGACTTTTATAAAATTCAGTTTTTTAGGTCAACTCCAATTGAACTATAAATGTTCCGAAAAAATTGAAAATATCGGCAAAGAAGATAAAAATATACGTTAAAATAGTTAGTATTTGTAACATACAATATGTATATAATTATAATTATAAATAAATTAATGTTTCTTTTCTAAGATCAATTAATATCTATTATTACATTTACTTTCGCAAGTACAATTTGCTTCAAAAGTAAGAAAATGCTCCAATCACATTCAAAAATTATGTAAGACTCTAAGATTAATAGTTAAAAAAATAAAGATAATTTTTAAATTATTTTCCTTCGCGATTTTTAAATTATTCTTGTGTGCAATTTCACTTGTCATAATGTTTGTATTGTATAAATTTTTTTAACTGAAATCACTAGTCGTTAATCTATATTTTCTCAATAAATATGCAGCAACGTACGTCGCGCGATTTGTGTAGCGGGCTTCCTTCCTTAACAGCCCAACTTTCACCTCTCCTGTATAGCCACACCCCGAGAAGACTTTTCCCTGATCCACTCATAATGATTTTTGCGACGAACGAATTCGTAAATCAGCGAGGAGATTCTTTTTGTCGGTGATTTTGTTTGCGAGTAAGATTTAGCTCTTAATATCTTGTACGACACGATAGACAGTTTTGAGATTGACGATTTGCTGTCTTTAAGGAAACGAGCAACAATGTGCCGGTACCATCTCCAAGATCCTCTTAAAGCCTCGGTCTCCCCATCTGAGCTCGTCCTCCTCAATGACGATTTTACCACCGCTGGGCGGCGCACGACGACATCGGCGATTCTCATTGGTCGGATAAAACTTCTTATGGGGTTGAAGACAAGTGTTGGTTCACCCCCGTTTAGCAAGTAGTGCCGGTCTTCAAATGTATTCCTCGTGAGTGACGTCACTGGAGTCTGCGGAGCGAACGATGCGAGCACCGGTAATGAGCGCGCAAGAATTGCAAAGTTTCCAATAAATGAAGTGCGACACAATACGTTTCTATTTTTGAAATTAATTTTTACCCAAGAAACAAGAGGTAGAGTTTCTTCTCGTTTACTTAATAGATAGAAAAGAATGAGACGTCTATTCCGTCAATAATAAGTTGATACGGAGAAAATATTTAACACTGAGAAATATATACTCATTAATTATACATATTTATACAAAATACAACTATAGAATTTCAGTTATTTTAAATATACGTTTTATTGTCAGTATTATTGACAATGTAATTTCAATTACATATCAATAAATGAAATATTTTATACATCCACTTATTATAATTGTAAATTATTTTTAAATATTTAATAATTATTAAAAAGTATTCAATTATACTTACAATTGTTATAAATAATTGTACACTGCATATTTCAAAAACATTTATTACAAATATAGATTTTATTATATTATAAATAAAATATATCGACAAGGGTTTCTTCTTTTTATATAGTATTGTATTGAGATTATTATGGTGTACTTATAACGTTTCTGTCATTAAAATATATAATATTTAATTCACGTAAAATAAAAATTATATATGCCGTAATAAAAAAGTCGTAATGTCAAAAAGCGGTCAGTCGAAGGACCGACTTTCTATCCGGGGAGAAAGCTTCTTCGACGAAGCGGCGATTTCTCGTTCTTCAGCTTCGAAACAAAGAGACTGTTTAATAAAAGCTCAAACGCTCCCACTGCTGGGAAGAGTACTCCCACTCGTGAGGAAAGTAGATGCGGCACATTACGAGTGGTCCATCACTTACTACTATCAGCTGCCGCAACGCAGTTCCACCCTCGGTAAATTATACCAAGTGTTTCATCGGCATTAAGCGAGATTGAGAGTATCGTTCGATCCTTGCTTGTGATATTCCTTTATCGAAATGCGTTTGTAGACGCTTTTGGTATCCAAAGGATATCTTTTTTGCGGGAGGGAATCCTTTTTGACATTGGGGTACTCATTTATTATTCAACCAATTTACTTTACTATCGATTTCGTTAATCCCATTACCGAAAGCGTTGTGAAATTTTTTATTCTCAGCGAGACACTGCAAAGATACGCGCTAGCTTTAAAAATTGAAAGATTTGAAGAGCCTCTGTCCCCGGAAACTGCGAGACCGGTCCGCGTGCATAACACAATCATACGTCACCCGCATCCTTTCGTATGTCGGTGACATAAGATATCTTTTACCGCTGCAATGGCAGTGAAGTTGAAAGAGCACGATGTAGTTATCAGCTGCGATACGTCGACGACAAGGGATTGGTTGTAGAATCAACCAGAAGATTTGTAATGGGATATGCCAGGTAAAAGATGAATTTAATTTTTATCTCCTATCCCGTTATAAAGGATACTAGGTCAAACGCAACTGTCGATTTTTTTGCCTCGTACGTTATCTGAATTTTTCCTCGAGATTACATAACGAAGTTATTTTTCGTCGTGCAGTAAAAACTTAATTGCTGCAGTTTGAAATTATTATAAATCTAATTATGTATTTATTAGATCAAAACACACACACACATACACACACATAAATTCATAGCACTACTTAAGTTCCATCACATCTATATATTTTTTAAAAAATTTAGCAGTTATAAATTATATACCATCTGACAGAACAAAGTTCAGCTTTAAGAATCTGTTTTTATAAATTGCGATACAATGATTTTTACCGGAGTTATAAGTAATTAAAATCAAAATTAGAAAGCGGAAGAGAGTATACGTTAATAAAAAGTTTTAGAAACATTTAAAAAAAAAGATTTTAAAGAGAAAACTTTGAGCTTTCACATTAAAAAATAGAAAATTTTTGCAAGTTTTTTTGAGGGGAAATTAAATGTAACAGGTTTATAAAGTAACAAGATAATTTCCCATTTTACCCCTCTCTCTCTCTCTCTTTCTCTCGTAGGTTTTTCTATAATATATAAAAATTTTACCAAATTTACAGAAACTAGAAAAAATAAAAGACATTGTCTTTTCAAAAGTAAAGATTTTAACTTTTGAAATCCTAAAATTTAAAGAAATATGCCTAGTTTTCTAAGGAAATTAGGCCTCGGATAAAAAGTATTGAGATGTGGCTAGAATTGTAGAGCATCAAACAGCATTAAAAAGTTTCGTAGGGACAATCTTGTAAAATAACTTCTTAAGAATTGGAGCTGTCTAAAGTTCGTTATATGTTCGCTACGTCCAATATCTAGACGAAGACATCAATGTGCTAGCAAGAGTAATTAACAATGTTTTTCTAGTTTTAGAGAGTTTATTAGATAAAGAAGAGAAAACTGAAGAGGGATAAGATTCGTACTTCGTGCCTTCGAGTTCAATTTAGCAGTTAAAACATTTGTTTCTGTGAATGTTCCCTCCTCTGTTGATTAATATATGATATAATTACCTACAAGTAGCTATTCAATCGGGACCCAACAATTGGGCATGGTTCTTTTATTTTTAATAAAGTTACAGCAGCTTGAATTTTGAAGTTTATAGCGCTACAAACTTTTGTTCCAATTTATGTGACCTCAATATACATCGATCTCTACTTTTAAATATTTATAATCTAATGATTATGTTAAAAGCCACAGATGGAAATATTATTTATTAAAAAGACATACAGTTGTATTCGCGTTGTATATCCCAAATTATTATTTCATAACTTCTTTTGTTTCTCGTATAATTACATTTTATTATATATTATTGTTTTTATTTATTATTATAAAATCTGTTATATTTTCATATTAAATCTTCTGCTTACAATCTGAGGGTTTTTTGTGCATTTTATTTTTAGTATTTTCTATTCTACGTTTTATTGCGTTTTCATGTTACATTGCTGCCTTTTGACATCGATAGACGTCGATAGCCTGTTGCTTCACTTTCGCGAGATGCGTTCTTCCTTAAAGCTTTCTAAGTATTTTCGAGAATATCGGCTGAAATTTTTTAATCAATCGAAATAGTCAAGTGCGCAGAAAGCCTTCGTAACGGAAATAATAATGACTATTTATCGATCAGCAAACAGTAAGATCTTTTCGATTAGAACGGCCTCTCAGAACAAATAATAAAAGAAATAATCCGTGATTCTAGATTCTCCGGGAACGGATGTAAGAAAAATAGTTCCGATAAATCATTGGAACGCTAGCGGAAGATGAATTTTTACTATTGCAGCACGAGTGGGTAAGCGCAAAACATCGATTGCGAGATGGTTGTAAAATATTTAACCGCTTCTCCACTACTTTATATATATATAGTGGTTCCGCGTGCTCTCCGATGCGAATTCCAAGCTACTCCAAAAGATACGAGTAAACTGCCGAGAGTTTATGTGCCCAGCTGATAAATGTTTCATTGCGCAATGTTTCATTATCAACCAGCGACGCGCTAGATCCACAAATGTTCGAACAGAGACCTGTTCTCCACATTTTCATGGAGTATATACATATGTAGAGTTACCCCATAGTTTCTACAACGTTTTTTGTAAATATTTGAAAATTAGACAGTAAAAGAATCATTTTATCACACTAAAACAGTATAAATTTGTAATAAAATTTTCGCTTGAAAAATGGAACATGTTGATTAAATAATCGTGTTTTAATTATTTCAGTTTGAATACGTCGATTGGGAGCAATTAAATCTTTCAAAAGAATTTAAAGCAGATAGAAACTAAGACTTGCATTTATAGTTCTTGTTTAACAACCACTGGATTCTAACTTCTATTATAGTCTAATGTACAAATCATGTTCTATATTATTGTGGACGCGGTGCATTTAGAAGTAAATGCAAGACGAGAATACGCAGCCAAACATTCACTCTCTAATTCTCTCTCTCTCTCTTTCTCACTAAAAGAATCAACTCCCGTCCACCCTCGCAAATGAGCAGGCGCGCGACGTTCGCCACGCAGGAATCAATAGGGGTTGCGTCGGGTTCGCGCGGCGTCGAAGCGACGTCGACGACGACGTAAGCGACATCTCATCTCGTATCGTTTCCTGGAGGTTGTGACGAGCAGCTCTCCTGCGGGCCGTCACGGCCGCCCTCGAAACCGGCCCCTGTTCTGTACTTCGCTCACTCTTGCGAATCTCGCAATGGCTGACAGCGAGTTCGAGGAATTTCGGCACTATTTCGAAAGGCTACCCCAACATCTGAAGGCACCACTCTCCAACTACACGTGAGTACTCCCGCAGCGGACCTGCCTTCGAAACAGATGACACGATATGCGATACGATAAGAAACCACGACGATGACACACATAGGTCGCAACAAGAAAGACGGCGGTCGGGAATCAAATCGAGGAGAAAATTTAGTCGGAAACTCAGGAGCACAAAGAGAGAGAGAGAGAGGGAGATGAAGATCAGTTCAGAAATTCATTAGAAGCTAAAAAATGTGTGCCTGCAGATTAAATCTTGACCGAGTAGTCTTGAGAAAATGTGAAGGGTGTGATAATGTAGATTGTAGATAAACCATGTTAATGAGATCGAAAATTGATAAACGGGGCTGTTTGAAAAATATTTGTATATTTTTGTTATTCCAATTACATAAATTACAAAATTGACGAGATTAAATAATCTAAATATAATTTAATGGACTGTCATTTATATACATACATCAATAATTGCATCACAATTGTAAAGGATCTATATACTGAAATGTTATTTATTTTATGTTCAATATTATATGCAAAAAAAAACCTGTAAATTTAAAAAAGTTCTACGTAATCTTATTAATTTCTTTTTTTCAAAGTACATATATTTTTCAAAGTATATCTATTAAGACCTAGTTGTTTGCTTCAATAAATTTTATTCAATTTCTCTAAAATATACAATTATAACTTATTTATACTTTATATTTTAAGGAGTAATAAGATAGCATCTATTTTTAATCGGAATTGATAATTCAAGAAGTTGATAGTTCAGATGTCGTTTAAAGAGTCATTTTAATAGAAATTTCCCACATCACTGATGGTGAGTAACTCAATGTGACTCACTTATATAATACTTCTATGTATTATCAAACCTTTTGATTTAAGGAATATTATATATTTTTCTGTAAATATATAGCAATCTAAAATCTTTTTAAATAAGATATCTTATATACATGACATCTATGGAGTATTTTAAAAAGTGAGGCTATACGGGACCAACGTTACCATCTGGTCGTTTCCTATTTCTATTCAGAGTAATGATAAAACGTTGCTGCACTATACATATAGTGTTGCATAGAGTGCATAAACATTTCTGATATGTAGATTCGTGTCATTACTCAAGGGGCTCATAAAATATCATCGTAAAATGGGGATTCGTGAATGTATCCGATGTACTACCAAGTTGAAAAAGTTATAAAGAAATCGCCAAGTCGCGCATCGGCATTATGTCTTTAAAATTATTGATCCTGAAGCACAAGTGACAAAGGATACGAATACGACGTGATACTGCAACGCGATGCACATATAGTAACTTTGACGAGTGTGATCTATGGCTTTCGTTGATACATACCTACGTATTACTTTTATCGCAAATAACCGATGATCCTGTTTAGATATGTAGCGTTACATCGGCATAAGATGTAATTGTATAATTTTGCATATAACAATTCCTGTTATAAACGTAACGTAGTTAACGTATGATACTTTGATCGCATTAAACGTGAGATTTAGATCATTCTTAAGATACATATTTCAGTCTCGCAAATAGAAAATTAATATAAACAATACGCCTAATCACGAAATTAAGGAAATAATTGAGTAATTCTAATCAGAATCTATTCTATAATAAATATATATATATATATAATTTTATATCTTAACTACAAATGTATTTGTAATAAATTAGACTGTCACCGTCCGCAGCTGATTCTAAAAAAATTAAGCAAAATCGACAAACGACGGTCTCAAATCTGCAACTATATTATATCTAATTTTCGATCTAATTTGATCATTTTGAAACACAGTATGTAAAATTAATAGGAATCTTTTCTCAATTAACATCAACATTTTCATAAAATCTGTTTAAATGTAACTTCTATATGATTCATAAGATCAATATGTAACTGACGCGATACACTCAATATAGCGCAAACATCCCCTTTCTTGTCAAGAGTATTTGAAAGAGTAAACGTACTCCTAATAAGAGTTTCAATATTACAACACTCTCGAATTATTCTTTCATAAATGAAACGTTATTCCATTATATGAATTATTCTATTACTGTATATGAATGAGATATACAAGTGTTACTTGCAATTTTCGCTTTTTAATAATAATGAATTAATTACCACGAACACGATATATCAAATTATTTGCATTTATATACATATACTTACTTATTTACTTATAGATTACGATGTAACTTCAAATAATTTTCATGTAACTTTTGCATATTTAACGTTTGACTAGGCTCGTACATGATGTGATGATCGATGACTCTCCGACGTTCTCGCAAGGAAGCGATGGAGAGGTCGGCAGATCCTGCGATGTCGTCACCGGCGATTCCGAGGACGAGGAAGTCGTCGTCATCCACCGGCATGACAACCAAAGTGGGCATACCACTCCCGATGACAGTGAGGAGTTGGATCATCATTGCTCGATCGTAGCTGACAGTGATTTTAGGTTGGTAACGTCGTAAGTGTGTTTATTTATTTATCACTAATTATTATCTCTGTAAATTTTTAATATATTTTAATTTTCTTTAAAGTTCTTAACGAAGGGAAGATCGGCAAAGAATTTTATCTTTGATGCTGACTTATATAAAACTTGTAAAACTTCGAATATTATATTTTGATAAAAAATACAAGAATTCGAGAAAGGGATATTTAAAAAAATATTAAAGAAATTTTTTTTAAGCGATCCCTTTCGGAAGATAAATAAGTTTATAAATTTGTTAAAAAGAGGACAGAAAAAAATATTTGCGACAGTTTGAGTTCTCACCGAGAAGAGAATTACATTCTTTGCGGAGGGAGGAAACTTCTTTCACAATATACTTTTTGTAACAAGTACAGCAAGTTTCTGGTACAGCTATTATGATTTACACCTACGTTCCGCTTATGTTAAAAGTTTTCAGATACAATTACACTTTAACCTGAGCTTCGGTATTACCCACATACAGAGCGACGTACATCATCGCATTCATAGTAATTTACAGTATATCGCCATAATCTCACCGGTCTGACCTTGTTAAAAATAACTGAAGCTTTCAGAAATAGTCTCCGGGAGGAGTTCGCGACGTGCAGCGATGCTCGTAATTATTAATTAAGCATCGCCCAAGCCTAACGGTTGGAAACTGTGTTGCATGCGGAGGATAGTCGATGCACATTAATATGGCACTTTCTGAACTTTTAATACTTTCTGAGGGTTTTAATTATATGTAGGTTTTCATACCTATTTTATCTATTATTACGTCAATAAACATTAACTTAAAATCTTCTCTTTTATATCACATAGCAATCATACACTAAGAAAATTTAAATCTTTTGATTATCTTTATTAATAAGTAATATACATATTGGTGTGTATGGCAAAGAATCCAGATTGCACATTGCATACGTATAATTTTAATGTAATGATTTGTTATTCAAATTTTATTGTTAAAATACAAATTATTAATTTTTTGCAGTAAATAATTTAATTTTTATTTATCTAATTATTAAATTAAATTGCCTATTAATTATTAACTTATTATTAAAATAATTTTAAATATATAAAATATAATAGAATCTTATATGCCAATATATTTTAATAGCACATTTATATTTTATCGTTTCTTTTCTAAATTTAATCGTTAAAATTTACAATTTTCAACTCTTGACGTGGTTTAGCGTGTCGTACAACGAGATAAATCCTTCCACCACTTCAATAAAGAGTTAAATAAAAATTATCTTTTATTTTATTTTTCTGAAGAATTAAAATAGGCAGCATGGAAAAAATGGTAGTTTAGCTCATTATACAATTAACCTTGGCTGACATTAGCTTGTTCGGTGGACTGAGCAGCAGGGGTCGATCGGTAGGCGGTGGCGGACCAGGACCGGGCGGGGGTGGTAATACTATGTCTGGTAACGGAGGCCGAGATAGTGTCGTCAGCGATGTCGGGGATTCGTGTTCCAGTTTGAGCTCCTGGCCTACGCCGGAGCACGTGCCGTCGAACCGACCTGGAAGTGGCGGCACCGAACGTAGACGTCGAAGACTGCCGGAAATTCCTAAAAGCAAAAAGTGTAAGGAAAATTTGCATGAATGTATAGCTTGTTCAATGGTAGTATTCAATGATAGATAACAAAAGGTCTGATTGTGTGTGTGATATAGAATTTTTTTGCATTACATTTCAATCTTACATTCGACAGTTTCGATGATCAAACTGTTGTATTATGACTTAACTACTATACGTATAATTTGTAGAAAAATACGAAACGTGGAAGAGAACAGTTCGTATGATTAGATGATTTAATGATGATAATAATGTAAGAATAATCCTTTAATGTATTGACGAATTATTAACGATATTTTTGAAAAATCGAAGTAAAGGAAATTAATCGGATTTTCATTGATACGTTAACATCAGCTCTGCCATCCGTTCGTCAGACCGAAAAAAGTGAAATAGTGACTATTTCTTTACAGAAAAAGTGACAAAAAGTGACTCTTGAGGCATTAAAATAAAATAGTAATTAAAATAATTATTTTCATTAACTTTTTGGAGTAAGGTCATTTAAGAAAAAAAAAACATTAATTCTTGTTTTTCTGTTCTTAAAAAAATAATTGTAGTCTTCAAAAGCCTTTTAATTTCACATTTATAAACAAATCTTGACATATATCTATAATAAATAATATAGAGAATTAATACAAGACTAATACATGAAAAGGAAATACAAGAAAAGAACAAAAAATCACAGATATTATCTAATTAAATCTAAATATAATAAAACTTAATTATTTAATTGTTCTTTGATTTTTTAGTAAAATAATCTAAAACATTATTCTTCCTTTTATTTACATCTTTTTCTTTGTCTCTAACTTGCTTTCTTTTTTCTTACGCTTCATTGCGAAGCTTTGTAACACCTGCTAGCATTGCTTCAGCGAGGGCTATTTCTTCCATATTTTCTTTTTCTACTTCTTTTTTTAATCTCTGGTTAGCCTCTTCCAATAGTTTATCAGCCTGCTTAGCTTTCGCATCTTCAAACTGACGCAACTCCGTCAGCTTTTTTCTTCTGTTTTAAGATTTCTTTTATTTGATTTTAATTCTTCTAATCTTTTTTTCTCTTCTTTCCTTATCTCTTTGTTTACTCTTGTTTCATGTTCTTGTTTTTCTTTTTTCTTTCAAGTATTCGTCATATTTTTGATGCGCTGTTCTAGCCAAGTTTAAAAGTTCTTTAGCGATAGGAACTGTATGAGGTAAATTGTTGCACATCTTCAAAGCATACTTGACAATCATATATGAGTTTAACGTTTTCTCGGACATAGAAGCTCTATTATCTGTAAGAATAAGAGCAGATGTAGAAAATCCTCGTTCTACATCGGCGTTTCCATGTGAAAGACTCAGGAGAGTCTTCACGACTTTTGACACAACAGGATATTTTATATTGCCAAAACTGTTTTTCAGAGCAAAAAAATAGCTCCAATATACATCGATTCGAATCTTAGATATGTCTGTCTTAGGATGCTTTTCTTCTTGTAAGAGTTTCCATTCATTTGTTAAAATATCGGTTTGTACTTCGAACGGTAATGCCTTCGCCGCTGTCATAATCGCAGAAATGGAATAAGATTTCTGGCGTTTAAAAGGATGCAAACACCTGACACTTCGTAATATATTATTCTTCGACTGGAGCGATGATTTTTCCAATATATATTGACAGGCAGATACATAATGATTTCTTTTTCGAGAAATTGAGTTTTTGCAACAGAATCACCGCAACAATCAAGTTCGTCAAGTATAGTCTTATCAATGATAACCTTATCAGGCTGTAGCAGATTGCTCCCAATGGATACATATTTCATTGTAAGCAAGATTAGTATTTTTACATGATCTTCCTATAAGGATTTTGATTAATGTTCAGGCACGATGTAATGATATGCAAAAGCAATGCTCTTGCGTTGGCTGCCAGTCCTTATATAAAGGGTCGGCGTCGAAACGAATGAGACACAATTGATTGAACAACGTAACGACAATTTTATTTATTTAACTGATTTTCGAGAGTTTGTAATGTCTGATTTTCGAGAATTTGCAATGTCTGGTGACGCCGTCACTGACGCCTGAAGCGCACCGTGTATGCGCGGCGGAATCTATCAACGGTAACTGAATTTTCGTACGTTCTAGAACTTATTACAGCCGAAGAGCGATATATAAGAAAACCAGTGCTCTTGCCGATAATCGGAGACGGAATGAATAGCTGTGCCGGAACAACAGATTTCGGCGAACGCTTGGTTTTTTGTCGAAGACGAAACGATCGCGGAGATTGACAATAATAATAGCTTGCTTGGCGAGCGCGATGCTTTCTCTGAGAATTCTATATAAACTGAATTTAAATCTAATCGCTCGGATTCCTGAACAATTAAATTCTTCAATTCAGAGTAAAGCAAAATCAGAGGCTCTTCTCTTTGGAAAACACTCGTGACAGAAGTAAAAATATTTGCAAATTGTCTTTGATTTGTCATCCCTGGCGTTCATGTTTTACAAATTTCATGTCAATTAAAGAAAAAAAGTGATTATAGTGACTTATATTCGACAATAGTGACTTTAAGTGACCGGTCAACAAAAAAGTGATTTGAGTGACTGAATGGCAGCGCTGGTTAATATAGAACTTTATTCCGCTATTAATAGAAATCTATTAGTATTTTACAATTTTCGATATTATATTACATAATTTATCTTAATTTAAAACGAATTATGTTACAAATATTCACATTTTATGTAATTATATCCTACATAATTTTAATATTAAATACTTTGTCTGACTTTAATTATAATAAGGTGAAGTAGCCATAACTTTCATGATATACCTATATATCTGAGAATTCAATTTGATGTAATATCGTTTACTATATATACATGTATAATAAATGATATGGCATCAGCTATATCATTTTCGACTGTCGTATCTGTTACACATGCATTATACATTATACATACAAATAAAACCAAAAAACTGACCTTATTGTCGCAACTGCAGAGAAAAAGATCGAAATATCTATCTGCATTATGTTAGCTCTATAAAAAGTATATGTTACAGATATTTCTATTTGCGATCTCGATATATCGTTCTATTATATTTCGTAGAGATTGAAAGATATTTTTTATTTAAATATTATATTTCATTTTCATAAATATTATATTTCGTATCACGTTTACGTGTTCACGTAGTGTCAGAATACTTCGAAAAAGAAAAAGAATATCACCTTTGCGTGCGAAATGCACGTTGATGTTCTGTGATGCTGTTTCAGCTTTGCCCATGTGTCAGACGTCCATACAGACGTCGACTTCGCTCGCAGACGAGTTGAGTGCCGCCACCGGCTCGACATCGACCCGGCCTCATCTTGTCTTAAGGAAATGTCATCCCAGACTGCGCCATGAGGACAGCTCACCCGACAGCGAGAGGATGGCCACGGACAGCGGTCATTCTACCGCTCATTCTCCCGACAATGGCCCCAAGAGTGTGTCTCCTATACCATGTAATACTCTGCAGAACACAGACTCAGTGTCGCCCAGCAGCACCCCAGGTAATTACGATTCTCCTCGAGAGATTGTATTTTTGCTTTTATATCAATTTAAACTAATTGATTTAAACGCAATTTAAACACAAAAATTCATATTTCTTACACAAAGTATTAATATTGTAATTACTATTACTATTAACTTATTTTTTTATTGTGCATATTATATACAATATAATATTAATAGTATTAATACAATAGTGGATTTTTGTTGATGTTAATTACACTGTGTGACCGATTTCAACTTTTAAAATTTTCCAAAGGGCGCGTGGGTTTGACTGTATCGGGAACACGGCCCACTATCATTTTCCCAAGAGATTTGGTAAATTTAGATCGTAGAAGAATGGGGCATAAATTTGAAGTTATTAATTTCGAGGAGTACCAGTTGCGCTATTCTCATGGTTTTGAGATCAAATATTATCACAAATACGTACACGCACATACATACACATACTCACGCTCACACTTATGCGCGCGAGCGCGAACTTTGTTTTACAAATATATGAGATAGCATTAGATAGTAGGATCTGTGAAGCTGGCACGACATTCTGTCGATATCAAAAAAATTACAACAGTTCCAGTAGCACTTTTCATAGTTCTACAGTTCTATCTAGAAATAAAAAATAGTTCCGCAGTTTTAATATGAAAAAACTAAAATTGGAAATATGGCGTGCTAACTACGCGAATCTGGCACGTCAGATTTCTTCTAAAGTACGAGAAAAAAATTAATATTTGCATTTTTAGCAACAGTTCCCGATAGTTCTACTAAAAACAAACTAAGTTATGCATTTTCAAAATAAAATAACAACATTTAACAATTTTTATATATCCTATATATAGAATTAAAAATATGTAGAGGCCGGAACTCTGCTTATAAATGATTGCATTGCATAGAACTCTGTGAGAACTAATGAGAACTGCCGTTGAAACTGATAGAAATAGTCAGCAAGTCACTTTTTCTAGAAGTTTTATGCCATTTTCTATATATAGGATGTATAAAAATTGTTAAATGTTGTTATTTTATTTTGAAAATGCATATCTTAGTTGGTTTTTAGTAGAACTATCGGGAACTGTTGCTAAAAGTGCAAATATTAATTTTTTTCTTGTACTTCGGGAAACATCAAGTTGAAAACTACCGTATATTAGTAGATGATATGATGACCGCTTTTAAGAATATCGGCGTTCATAGGTCATTGAAAATCCATTTTTTACATCACCACCTTCAATTTTTTAAAAAGCAGCTTGCTACAGAGTCAGACGCACAAGGTGAAAAATTTCATCAACAAATCATGCAGATGGAATGTCGATACAAAGGAAAATCTCTACTTTCCATGATTTCTGATTTTTGCTGGTCAATTGCTGAATAAATTTAATAGTACATAGTGTAACAGTGGAGGATATTTGTTTATTGCACGGCCGGGCACGAGCGCACGAGCGCCCGTGCCGACCTATAAACAAATATGCCCCCACTCGCTACACATAGAATTTTTCATTACAAGTGCTCGTCGTAATGTTTCCTGTACAGCAACGTTTTTGCGCAGAAGAGTGGGATTAGAGAAATAACTCAACGGCTTGAGGTATTGGCTATTTACCGTATGCAAAAGCGTTAAGGTATAGGGCACATTACGTGCACGCGTGATGAAAAAAATATTAACATGCGCGTATATTTGTTATCATATATATTTGACCTCAAATCGCACTACCTGTATTCCTCAAAATTCATAACTATAAATTGATTCCCCATTTTTGTATGATCTAACTTTGCCACATTCCTTGGGGAAATGGTAGTGGGCCGTGCCCCCGACATAACCAAACCCACGCGCCCTTTGGAAAATTTTTGTGGTCACACAGTGTTATTAAGCTTTTTTTGCTTAAATAACATTAATTTTTGTTGTTAAAAAATTCAGCTATTAGATCTAAACTTTATTCTGATAAAAAGCAAAATTATTAAAAAATTTTGGAAGAAGGTATATGGTATACATATATATATGTATATATATATATCGCTATGTTCATAATATTTTATGCTTCGTCAGAATTTTCTATGAGACTACACGATAATCTGACGATTCTATTACCTCAGTTTGGAAAAAGTTATGAAAGCCAGGAATTGTTGTTTATGTCACAATTTTCTAATCGGAATAACTCTTGAAGAAGAATCAATACTAGCTTGCTTTTTCATTTCGAAGGAAGCGGAGGCGTACCATTCACCCAATTGGAACTGCTCGAGGCAACGCATCGAGGCCTGCACAAGTTCATATCACGGCATCATGATGAAATTGATCTTGAAATTGGAGACCCCATATACGTGCAAAAAGAGGCTGATGACCTCTGGTGTGAAGGTGCGTAAAAATATCTATTTTACAAAACATTGAACTTGACTCAGCTTGACTCAGCAATAATCGATGTAGTAGATTTCTTTTTCTTGTTTGAAGAAAATTGAGTCGATTTCTTCGGATTTTTAACAGCGACAATCAGATAATATTTTACAAATACATGTAATGATTTATTTTATAATATAATATTAATAAGTGCTAATTATTCAATATTACACATTAAAGATAACCATTCTTAAGCAACAAATATCTAGAAAATATAAATATAAATAAATAAAAAAAGGAAAAAAAACTTCATTTTTAACTGTTTTAAATATATTTAGACATATTCTGAATATTTATTCTATTATATTTAATTGTCAATTTTTTGAATATGTTAAAGTAAATAAAATAAAATAGAGAAATATATGAAATTAGTGCTATACTTAGTACTGACAAATTATCTTTTTATTCTTCGCGATTAGGCGTGAATCTAAGGACAGGCCGGCAAGGTATCTTTCCATCAGCTTACGCGGTCGATATGGACTATAGTGATTTTGATCCTACCGCGCCTAAAGTGAAGAGAGAAAGATATCTCCTAGGTTATCTAGGCTCGGTGGAAACCTTGGCACATAAGGGTACGGGAGTGGTTTGTCAGGCAGTGCGAAGAATTCTTCGCAACTCCTTACAGGATCCACCCGTCTCGCAGAGCTGCATTTTGGAGGTATCCGATCAGGGTCTTCGAATGGTTGATAGAAGCAAACCGCGAGTAAGTGTCTTTTTACGATCGATAGAGGTTTATTTATATACATACATATATTAAGATTTCAATTAATTATATAATTAATTATATTATTTAATTAATTTTTTAAACTTTATAATAATAAGATCAATTAAGACTTTTATAATTAAAAAACAAATTGGAGAGAATAAAGGGCAACAAGAGTCGAGCGCAGAAGACGTCGCGCAATTAAAAAACTAATAAATGACAAAAACCATTTATTCGAATAACACTCTTTTATTATGACAGCGCTACTATCATAATAAAAGAGCGTTATTGGAATAAATGGTTTTTGTCATTTATTAGTTTTTTAATTGCGCGACGTCTTCTGCGCTCGACTCT